TATATGCTACTTTGATTCCCCTTATTTAGTAGGCTCACTTGTGTGTCGGATTATTTGCCCTGCCCCTATTCATCAATGTAACACAGGGACATCCAGATCACTACTTTCGGAAAAATGTGCTTGGTATAATATAAGTGTGTAATGCGGATGTGAATTGGGTTGGAGTTAAGTATTGTACATAGATACAAGCTAGACTTGCAGCAGGAGAAAACAAGGAAAGGGAACATCATTGTCCTCTGAGCCTCTCGAGCCTGGCCATCTCACCAGTTGTTAGTAGCTGTGTTAGGAACTAAAAGGAAACTGGGTAACTCTTATCAGGTCCATGTCCCTTTCTCTTCACAGAGACATCAAAACCAACCCCAGGGCAAGATACAGTGATTTCCTCTGTTTTTTAAAATGTCTTCCTAAAGAAGGTTTACTTACTTCCAAGTATCAGTGTTACATGTATCAGTATCTCACTTGAAATAGAATTAATTTCTTCTTCCAGTATTGAGATTTTTCAGTAGCAAAGAACTCAGGGTACAAGGTCAAGACAGATGGGTTTCCAAGCTAGCTCTGCCGTGAAGTTAACATATAATATTGGGCAACTCCTTTATCCTTTTTGGAATTAGATTTCCTCACATTTCTACTACATAGTTATTTTTGAGAAGCAAATATTTGAAGAATAAAGGAAACTTCAAAATTACAAAAAAAAAAAAGTTATATAAGTTTCTGCCATCTTTATAGAAAAAAGAGCTGTTCACCAAAACTCAGAATGAGGATTAGAAAACTAAAAGTCAAGATTAATCGTCTGTGTCCCTTCTTCATGATAATGGTTTGCCAACATTTAGTTTCATCCATCTATCTTTTCCTGTATTGTCCTTCAATGTCTTTTCTCTCTAGCAGACTCTCAACTTCTGCAACTTAATGAGCTCTGTAGACTTTATTCTTTCCTATCTACTTGTATGTCAGTTTTTCTGTCTCTATCTTGCTTGGGTGTTTCATATGCTCTATATGTCAGCAATATCCTTAAAGGAAGAGACCATTTTCTCTACCTCTCACTACCCTGTAGCTCTGTAGCCTAGATTCTTACTTAAATGCTTTGTCTTGGTTTCTGTGTGCCCAAGGCAGTGCTTCTGTGTATATCTGGCAGTGCTGCGGGTCTCCTCCTTCAGACTAGAAGTACATCAGGAACATCTCTTTATTCATTGGTTCATTTAACACATACTTATCACTTAGACAAAAATTGGACTAGGTTCTGGGGGTGTGGAATTGAGTATGATTTCTGTTATCAAAAGCTTAGAATGTAGTTGAAAAGTCAGATAATAAATAATTTCAGTTGAATGTGACAAGTGCTATCATAGAATGAATGAAATGCCAAGAGAACCAAGATGGGAGAAATACCTAGATGGAAAGATGGTGGTGAGAATGGACTCAAAGGAGACTTGAAAAAAAAATTGAACCCATCCCTCTCCCACTGCATAAGTAATACATATTCATCCTGAACACTTTGGAAAATTCAGGAGACAGTAGAAATTTACCATAATTATACCATGCAGAATCATGTTCTACTAATATTTAGATGAATTCCATTCAGCCTTTTTTCTATGCACATTTTCATGTAATTGAGATCACTCCATATATACTATATCATGCTCTGCATTTTCACTTATTTCCTACTAAATTATAAAACTTTCATATTCATAATTTTTAAGCTGCAAATACACATTTTTACAGTAATATTATATCAGTTTCTGTCTACACATCACATATATTCATTTATGAATTCTTAGAGTCTTTTCCTATGACTACATATTCACATTTACATGGATATATATCTTTGTTTTCTTTACAGTATTAGGATCATATGGCCTTCAATGTTTTATAATCTCTCTTCCATTTAACAATATCACTAATAGTTTTCTAGATATATAACATTAATAATTTTATTGTAAAATATGGTATATATTTAAAAGAATGTAAAAAATGTACATTTGAAGAAGACTAATAAATAAACACCTAGGTATGTTCTAGCCAGGCTAAGAAATAGAACATTAACATAAGTCTAGAAACCTTTTATGTTCTCCTTTCAAATACTTCAGATATATGCCAATAGTCAGTATTATAAATTTTAGATTAAAGCATTTCCATATTTTCTTAAAAACTAGATTTTTCTTAAACAATGCATTATTTAATCTTGAGTAAACACTCACACACACACAAATATATATACATATATATTATTTGCTTCTATTATTCAATATAGTAAGTTTGAAATCCATCCATATTGATTTGTGAAAATGAAATTAGTCCCTTTAATGATTTTTTAACAGAAGTCAGCAAACTTTTTCTGTATAGGACCAGTTAGTAAACATTTTATTTAGTCTTTACAGACCACGCAGTCTCTGTTGCAACTACCCAACCCTACTGTCATAATGTGAAAGCAGCCACACACAATATGTAAACAAATGGATGTGATTATGTTTCAATAAAGCTTTATTTATAAAAACAGATGACTGAGCTGTAGGCTGTAGTTTGCCCGCCTTGCTCTATATTAATTTATTCAATGCTCTATAATACTTCACTGTGAGAGTTTACTTTAATTTAAATATTCTTTCTACTTTTGAAGAATATTTGGTTTGTTTCATTTCCACCCCCCCCCTCTTTATTTTTAATAAACAAAGCCACTATAAAGTTCTTGCATTTGTCTTTTTAGTTTTTCTGGATTGGATATCTAACGGTGGAATTGCTGGTTCTTAGGACATACTAGTTTTCAACTTTCGCAGATAATGTCAAACCATTTTCCAAAATCATTGTGTCAATTTACTTTCCCTCCAGTAGGGAACTGGAGTTTCCATTGCTCTATGTCTGTGATAGTTTTCATTTTTTGCAGTCTAATGGGTGTGAAATGGTCTGTGATTTTAATTCGTGGTCTATGATCTTATTTTTCCCGGGCTACTAATGATATTAATATGTCATTTGTGCTTCCTCTCATATGAAATTTCTATTCATTTCTCTTATCTATCATAATATCAAACTGATGACTTTCTTTTTGATTTTCAGAATCCATTAGGTACTCAAGATACCAGTGTTTTATGTGTTATATTTGTTGCAAATATCTTTTTCCTCCTTCTGCCTTGGTTTTTTTCTTTTTTTGTGATTTATCTTTAAACATAGAAGTTAATTTTATGTGATAGAAATTATTATTTCCTTTTATATTTTGTACCTTGCTTAAATTTTTTAAGGTATTTAATCCATTCGTGATTGACTTTTTTATGATGCAAGTTAATCTAATTTTTCCCCCTATGAATCACCAACTATTTCAGGACAATTAATTGCTATCTATAAATGTATCCATTTCATTGAAATTAAAAAATGTATTGGAATGAATTTGTTCATAATGTTACTTTTCATCTTTTTGAGTCTAAGCCTCTGTTTTTGTGTTTATTAATTTATAACAGAGTTCATGTATATCTTCTCTAATGTGTTTTGGGTCAATTTCACTGCCAATTTACCTAAGGTTTATAAACTTTTATGTTTGTGAGTCTTCTGCATTTTATCCTTTTAAAAATGTTATTAGCATCTGTTCCATCATCTATTAGTTTTTTATTTTTCTTCTACTTTCTTTTTGGTCTTATTTTTCTAACTATTTAGGATAGATGCCCAACTCATTAATTTTCACCCTCTTCTAACAAAAAAAAGCCATTTAAACTATAAATTTCCCTCTAATGATGTTCTAAAGGCATTGTACATGTGATTCTTTTATTATTGTTTAGTTCTCTTTGAACTGTGGCTTAGATTATCAAACATTTGCAATTTGTCAAGTTCCCATTATTTGTGAAAATTTCTAATTTAATCACACTAAATGATCTGGGAATGTGGTTATGTTTAAAGAAAAGTTAGTTTTAAGAAATTTTTGATATCATCTTCATGGACCATAGGTGTTCATTTTTTAAAATAGCCTAGGTGTACTTGAAAAGTACATCAACTTTTTTTTTTAAGTTTTACATCAAACTTTAAATAATGTTGCTCAAATTTGGGGTATCTGTATTTCTGGTCCAAGGACGTAGACTGCCATGTCCCTGAAGAAGAAACTTAGTTCATCGAGTTTTGAACTGGTCTGTGCTGTATTGCATCTTTGCTCCAGGTCAGGGCAGCTTCTGGTGCTAAGAGGTGGTGTTGACCTTCTCTTTATCTTTCAGATCTGAGATACTCCATGAAGAGAGCCAACCACACAGAGATAAGAGAGTTTGTTTTCCAGGATTTCTCCAGTTTTCGAGAACATCAGGGGACACTCTTTGTGGTCTTTCTCACCCTGTACATCCTAACACTGAAGGGCAATGTGGTCATTGTGATTATTATCTGCACTGACCATCACCTTCACACCCCCATGAATTTCTTTTTAAGTGTCCTCTCCACTTCAGAGACTTTCTACTCCCTGATGATTATCCCAC